CAGATCTTAGCAGTCTGGTCCACTTCCAGCGTACTCCTCTGATCATTCAGAGGCATGGGACAAATTGGTTGTACACGTTCTCTTCGCCCTTAATGGAAGCAAAGAGTAATAGGATCTTTGTGCTGCGGGCACAGCTAGCTCTTCCTTGCAGGTTTGTACTTTCCAAGTATTCATGATATCTTCACATTGCACCTCTGAAACCTTGGAGCTATAACAGACGAGGTGTGGGATTTCATAAATTCAGTGTGCTCTGAGATGTAAATACCAAGGAAGTTTCTGTCTGTTCAAATTTCCCTGGAGTCTAAATTTGAAAATATCTGGCTATCATTAGGGTAGTGTGGTTTTCCACCTAGCCACACATCCCTCCCCCCAACTGAGAGGAGCTGTCCATGTGCAGCAGAATTTGGTGGGCGAGCAGCTGGGTGTGCAAATGTGGAGATAAAAACTTTAAATACCATGACAGATGATAAGGTGGTATACGAAATGGGTTTATTTCGGTTGAGTCGGAACCTTTCCCGGTCAGCTGGCCTCTTATGCCATGTATTTTGTAATCTAGGTGAGCAGTTTAAGCGGTGGGAATAGGTACTGTGAGCATGAGCTAATCTTCCTATAAATGTGTTTATCAGTCCTCAGTAGCAGAAGAGCACCACTGCCGCTTAAATCCAGCAAAGATGTGGATGTTGTCGCCCCCTTCTGGTGAGTAGTGGTTCCAATGTTGAGCATGTCTTGCTACTTTCTCCCTACTTCTTTACTCATCCAACTCTGTTTCCATTTAAAAAAATGAAACAAACAAACAAACCAGCAACCATCCAAACTGGGGACCAGGGAAGAAGCACAGAATAAATGTGCCATTTATCATGCACAGATTTTTACTTGCCAAAGGTTTGCTATTGCTATTGTGCAAATGAGCAAGAGGGAAAGTCAAGTTTTAGAATCTGAACACTTAAAGAAGAAACTTGCTCCTGAGTTGTTGGAATGGGTTGGAAAATGGGGACATTTGCGGAAGTTTTCCAACCAGCTTATATTATAGATTCATAGATATTAGGGTCAGAAGGAACCTCAGTAGGTCATAGAGTCCAACCCCCTGCCCTGGGCAGGAAGGAGCGCTGGGGTCAGATGACCCCAGCCAGGTGCTTGTCCAGTCTCCTCTTAAAGACCCCCACGGTAGGGGAGAGCACCACCTCCCTTGGAAGCCCGTTCCAGATTCTGGCTATCCTTACCATAAAGAAGGCAACCCTTACTGTAAAGAATCATTTTTAACCAGTTGCATTCTTAGGACTTAGGGGAGGAGCTGTGGCCTGGACATTCTGCAGAGATACCAGACTGTAACTTTGCTGATCCTGGCATTGAGAGACTCCCTGTTTTCCCTCTACCAACAGCTCAGTCCCCACTGTGTCTTCCCCTTCTTCACATATTTTACCTTTTGGATTTCTGCAGACCCAAAGAGGAACGTGCCATGTTCATTGACTCGTCATTTCCTAACACTATCCTGTCAGAGTCCCAACTGCAAAAGCATAGGGGTTCTTTAGGGAGGAAAGGATCCTAGAAAGGAGTTGTTTTCTGCACCTCTTTTTCCTTTGGTGGCTTCAGTTCCTCCACAGCTTCCTCAGTCAAAGTATAAAGGAACATTCTGCCTTTGGGCAAAACTTGGCCTTACAGATTTTCATCACACGAGCAGTTATACAAAATAAACTGTAAGATTTAACAGTTGTGTTAACAATCCATTACTTTCTGGTGGGTTTCTTTATGTATTTGATACACAGCTTGCATAATAAATTTGGCAAGAAGTTGTCCTTTTCAATGCATCACTGGAAAAATTAAATGTGACTTCTATAACACCCTAACACTCAAAAGCTCCCATCTTAAGACATTTCCTGCATTTAGAATATAGAATTCACCGTAAGACGTCGGGTGGGTAAGGTAACTAGTAGGGTGAAAGTGCTAGACTTTAGCAAAGCTGATTTCAATGAACTCAGGCGATTAGTCAAGGACGCACTGCAGAGTAGGAGTTTTGAAGTGATGGGAGCCCAAGAAGGGTGGCTGTGCCTTAAGGAAACGATCCTTCGGGCACAAAGTGAGATGATCCCGATGCGAGGAAAAAGAGGGAAAGGGGCCAGGAGGCTTCCCTGGCTGACCAGAGAAATCCAGGGCAGCCTAAGGGACAAAAGGGGAGCACATAAAAAGTGGAAACAGGGAGAGATCACCAAAGACGAATATACCTCCTCTGCTCGTGCTTGTAGAGAGGCAGTTAGACGGGCCAAAACTACCATGGAGCTGAGGATGGCAACCCAAGTAAAAGACAACAAGAAATTGATTTTTAGATATATAGGGAGTAAAAGGAAGGCCCAGGGAGGAATAGGACCCCTGCTAAACGGGCAGAAACAATTGGTGACAGACAG